ACAAGATGGCCAGTGGGCCGCAGCACATGTTTTTCTTCGCGCCAGCTTTCTTGGCCTCGCCCCGCAGAAGTTGCGCAGGGCTTCATCTTCCTCTCGTCTCTGCTGCTGCCGATACCCAGGGCTCGACCTAAACAGTGTCTTTTGGCGACTTCGTGGGCCGCTTCGACTCAGTTTTTCAGTTAAAGGCGGAACGAAGGCAGAACGACAGAAAACGAACACAAAACGAGAACGGAAAACATTGGATAGGTCGAGCCCTGGGTCGCGCAGTGTTTCCTCTCCCCTCTGCTCTGTTCCTGCTGCTCCTCCTGCTCTCCCTGGCGGTTTTCCAGCTCCTCCTTCTGCTCCTGCTACCCCCGTTCCGCCACCTGCTCCCGCAGCCGACGCGCTGAAGTGAGGATAACGCTGGCCTCAGGCGGGGCTCTCCGGTGCTCTGGCCCTGCCTTGGGCCCAGGTTGGGGCCGCGGCCGGGCCGAGGCATGCGATCGAGGCCGGCTCGGGGAGGGTACCCTGATGCTCTTCGTGCTCGTTGGATGCTCGTGTGCACTCTGGGGGAGAGGACCCCCTCGAGTGATCTTCTGGTTCGTGGTGCCTCGGCCGGCGGCGGTCTTTTGCCGTAGGTCTGGATGCGTTCGTGGCCGAGGCTCGCCGTGGCCGGGAACGCCCTTTCTCTCTCTCGTTGTTGTGGGGTGCAGGTCTTTTGCCCGTTGTGCCGGTGCTCGCCCTTCGTCGTCGTCGTCGCCCTCCCTCCTCCTCCGCGAGTCCGCGAGCTGTCACGCTCATGAATCACACAAGGATCTCCAAAGTGCACCTCGGGTTCCGGCCCAACCTCGGCGACTACAACAGGGTATGGTTATGCCGGGGTGTGGTATGTGATCGGCACCGTTGGGGCCTGGGGGGCACGACACTGTCCTCGTCGGGCCTCCTCGGGACGCGGGAGAATTCTATCGAGGTCCCCGCGTGCCCCCCAGGGTGCCCCCCAGGATGTTCCCCAGGGTGCCGCTTGCAAGCCGCACCCTTTGCAAACCACACCCTTTGGAGCCGCCGACAGCCGCCGTGACCTCGTAGGGCCGTCCTTCTGGACGTGTGTCGACTCGGCGCCTCGCCTCGCCTCGCGGTAGCACGAACACAGCACTCTCCTCCCCCTTCCCGATCGAGGCGGCCGATCCGCAGCGCCCCGTGCCGTGCAAGCCCACCGCGCCCCCGCCGGCAGCTGCCCCCGACGCACGGCACCGAAATGGCGCGCTCCGCGGTGCTCACGGCCTCCGTGCTGCTCGGCTGCGGCGCGCTCATGGCGGGCAACATTTATGCCCATCCACTGCTTCTTGGACCTTCTGGAAAAAAGCGCCACAAGGCCGAAACTCCAAGATGCAGTGGATATGGACGTACATCTTGCCCGCATTCATGTCCGCCTTCGTGCCCTCTCCAGTGGCCAGCCGCCCTGCTGCGCAGGCGCCCGCGGCGCTGGCGGCGGCCGCGTTGGCAGCGCCCACGGCCGCGCTCGCCGAGGGCGAGAGTGTGTGGATCCCCGCGCTCAGCGCCGTCGGCGCGGGCTTCGCGATTGGCCTCGCGGCGATCGGCAGCCAGGGGCATCATCGGGGGGGATGAGGCTCATGGCAGTCGGATGCCTCAGGGGCAACGTCGGGCTTCTCGGCGGTATTTCAGCCTTGGGATGCCCCCCCAGCAACTGCGCCTCGCCGGGAGCGTTCCAGGTGTGCCCGGATAGTCCCGAACGGTTGCCAGAGAGCTGAATTATGGCCTGAAGACCACCAGGGGTAACGCTTCTGTCTTGTCATCGCTCGGACGTGTGCGGCGCACCTCCGCGAGGCACATCAAGAGGAGCATCTGGGATCAGCTGGCAGAGAAGAACCGCACGCACGGAACCCAAAACGTGCACGGGGGATGGACCTCCGAGCGATGGCCAGGGGGTGGGGGGGCATAGGCTTCGGCTACACGTAAGAGTGACCTTTCGCCGGAGTGACCTCTGGGGCGGACACAACCGGGTCCCCCGATCACCGATTGCGATGCGGCAGTTGCGTCTCGCGCGCTCGTGTTTGGCACCCCCCTGGGCCCCCAACAAGCCGCGCACCACAGGTCACTCTTACCCAGGGTCACTCTTCTTGGCCTCGCTCGGACGTGTGCGTTTTTCCTCGGCCAGAACCATCGAGGACCACCCTGGACCATCGAGCAAAAAAAAACACGCACGAAACCGAAAAACGCGCGGAAAATGGACGTCCGAGCGATGGCGAGTCTTGCGTGTAGCCGAAGGCTGCGAGGGGACGCTTCCACCCCAGAGGGCCGCGGCCCGGTGCCCGTCGAGGGAGCCCAAACCCCGCCCAGGGCCCGGCGGCTGTGCCGTCGGGTGACCCGCCGCCGGCCTCTGTGCGCTGCGTGATCGGCCCGTGTACCACCACCACAGCCACCACGAGTTGGAGGGGGAGGGGGTCCTCCTCCGCCTCCTCCTCCTCCCCCTCCTCCTCCTCCTCCTCCTCCTCCTCCTCCTCCTCCTCCTCCTCCCCCTCCTCCTGGGCGCAATCTGGGGGCGGGCAGAGTCTGTCCGCCGCCAGCAGTGAAAGCGGGGCCGAAGGCGCACCTTACAACCGCCTTCGGCCCCGCTGGGCAGACATGGCTTCCTCGAACAGGGAGAAGGCCCACGGGCGTCGGGCAAACCTAGACACCCGCCGTGGCCACCTGGACAGGGAGCCTGACCTGGGACTGAACTCGATAGACCTTGCCATTGAGCCTGAATTCACCTTTCGCAAGCCTCTTCAAAGTCTTGCGAGCGTTTTCCGTGACCTCTGATGGGCACGGGCTCGCCAAACCTGAAAGCCTCGACACAGCGAAGCACGCGCATCGCGTGCATCCAACCACGAGCGGACCACCTTGCAGCTGGATCTTAGCAAGGGCATGCAACTTGCCTGAGCAGCTTGCCTGAGCGGCTCGAACTCGACTCACCACATCGGTGGGGATGGGGTCCTGGACGAGAACCAATTGGGGCACTGGGGGCAAACCTCGAGCATGCTTCTTGGGGTGCCCACAGTCCTCAAGCCCCTCGGAAAGACGCCCGATCCAGGAGCCCCAGACATGTAAAACTTTGCATCGGGCCTGAAGCTGGGCAACAGCAGCCTCAGAAACCCTGGCAAAAGAGGCAGCACTCTTAGCAGCCTCGTCAGCCTTAGCATTGCCGTAGCGGTGACGCACAGAGGTGCCACGCCCTAACTGCGCATCGACCAGGGTCGCGTGACCCTTGATTTTGATAATCTCGATCCCCCCGCCCAAGTCATCCACCAGCCTCCAGAAATCCCTCCAGAGATGAGCGTGCGCAGAAACACACGCACAGGTGGCCTCTTGGCCACCTACATGGAAACCATCGGCCACAAAGGCCGAATCCGTGTAGATACGAACAGGCGGAGACGCGAAGCGAAGAACATGCATGACAGCAACAAGCTCAGCAGCGTTGATACACTGCAGTGGATCCATGAGCGGTCCTGAGCAAAAAGAGACAACTTCCCAACGGTCCTTATGCAATGCAACGCACCCCCAGCCCGCACTGGCCAGACTGGGATACTGAGCCTCGAAAACGGACCCGTCAGTATAGATATCTCCCGTGATCTCCGAGGGCCCTCCAAGCCCCCAACAAATAGGAGACCCAGGAGGGGGCCGGCTCAGAGATGGGAATGGCACAAGACAACGCTCGGCGAAAAGCGAAGCCAGCACAGAAGTAGTCGCCGCAGCGTCGGCTGCAGCTAAAAAGCTAGGCTTGTCCTCAAGGCTGTCTAAACGAGAGCAAGAGCAGTGCCGATGCAGCAGGGTCCCCTCCTGCAGAGGGCAGAGCAGACAAGAGGGAGACGTGTCATAACCCGCGGCCCACTGCCTCTTCTGCGGCCACTGCCCACCGATGACCGTGCTGCGGAGGTGGCCCTGCTGCTGGGCCGACAATTTACTCTTATTGCCAAGGATGGCCTTCAGAGGTCCCAAGATCAGACCGTTGGCGAAGTCCTCAACCTCAAGATGTTCCGCGACCTTACGATACTGC